TACAACCTTCACAGAACCTATCAGAGTATCTTGTCAATTTACACTTGTTACATTCTTTTGGTTTTCCCAATTTATATGTTACATTTTTTAATTCAATGTCATAAATATACTTTTCTTTACAAAATTTTTTTTCATTTTCAGAAAGCTCCTTGTTTTTTTTGACTAATGAAAAAAAATAATCTTTTCTACTTTCTCTATCACAATTAGCATTAGCATAACCAAGCATTTCACTATGAATTTTATATACAAAATTCTCTCTTTCTAGTGATAATGATGTTAATAGTTTAGCATGCGACATTATAAAATATAAAATATATAATATAAAATTCGACTTGAGTGTTGGTTGTATGTGAATTTAAAATTAGCCAATCAAATATGGGGTATATGCACATAATAATAATGATCGACAAAAAAATGGTCCGCATTCAAACACCGATTACTAATTATAGAAAATGAAATAAAAAATGTCATCAATCGATTAATCAAACAAGAAAAGGGAAAGTTTAACTTGGGGGCGAGAAAAAAGAAATTTGCAGAAAATACTACATTATGTGGGGAAACACACTTTTGGGAATTTTGGAAAAGGTGTTATTGATGATAAAAAATGAATCATACTATATCAATTTAAATTTGTTTTAAGGCTCTGGCGTCAAGTAGAAAGTTGCTAAAGCCGCCACCACCACCATCATATCCACGTCTTCTTCTAGAGGGGGGTGATGGGTACTATGAATCGTGGCATAATGTTATATTGTTGTTGGTGATGTCATTGTTGTCGATGACGATGATGGTTGATGTCGTGATGACGATGATGATGATGCTTGCTTAGTCCGTGCAATTCACCGATCATTTTATTAATTAGATTTAATTGGTTAACATTGTTAATCCATTATATCAATGGGATTTGGATTTGTCATTTTTTCTTAAAAAGCAGAAAGGATCACTGCGCCCATATTAGTTAGTTACACGCTAAGCATGGAAAATTTTCAAAGTGATCACGATAATCCTGGGTGGGAACAGACTTGTCAAGTGGTGAATTTGAACAAGGTTAAAAAAAAACTCATTAATTCCTTTACAATATCACCCTAGTTTCCTCAAACAAATTTATTCTCGACAAAAAAAAAAATTTAAAGAGGATTATTTACAGCAACTAAAAAAAAAAAAAAGGAACATAATATTAATATATAGTTTTTAGGGTCTTTTACCAAAACAAATCATAATTTGCACATGTTATCTACGCATTTCATATGATTAAAAATAGTCAAGTTAAAAAAGGAAAAATTAAAACATCAAAGTTAATCAACTAATACTAATAATGATCACAATACTGACAAAATAATAATTATAAAAAAGGTAATAAATCTCCTTATCACACATTCATAAGTCATTATCAGAAAGAAAAATCTCAAAAAAAATTTACAAGCTTGAGTGACATTCCCCGCTTGTAAGATTTAACACCATTTCATTTATGACAAGCATATCATCCATCATTGAGGACGACACGAACAAATTTATTCATATTATAAATAATAATAATAATAATAATAATAATAATAATAATAAATAATAATAACAACAATAATAAAATGTATTCGTTTAATAAAAATAAAAATGATAATAATAATAAACCTTCTTCATTACATCATGGAAAATCTAATATCAATAAAGTTACAACAGATATCAGTCCATCAGATCCACCTGTAGAAAATTCAAAAACTGAATCATTTTCATCTGATAGATACAGTTGGCCAATTTTATTTACTTTAATACCTCCAATATGTGCTCTTATTTCCGGAGAACCAAATATTTGGAGTGATTTCCTTTTATTACTTTTGATCGCATTTTATCTTTATTATGTTATAAAAAGTATATTTATATTTATATTATATTTATTGCTATATTGGTTTTATTATCATCAATATAATAATCAATTAATTATTTATTACATGTGCACATATAATAGTTCCTTGGGAACTTTATTATGCAGCTAGAACAAGACATGTAATCAATGAGAATATCATTCAAGAACAAACTTTCGATGCTACTCAACAAGCCATCAGAAATCAGGCTGCCGAAAAATTACGTCGTCAAGAATTATGTGCTTTAATTTTTATTATGTTAACACCAATCATTGGAGGCTATATATTGTATGGAGCAAATGTTTATTTGACCAATTATAATAATTACATCTCTCATTTCAACATAACTCTATTTGTATTTACTACCGCAATCAGACCTTTGATGCACATAGCCAAACTAGCGAAAAATAAAACATTGCATCTTCAAGAGCAAATTCATTATCCTAATGTAGAAGTAGAATTGTTGAAAAGACATGTAAAACACCTCGAATACAAATTGTCTCAGATACGTAAAATATTAGCAACAAAACATGATATAATAATTGTTAAAGATGAATTTGAGCCCACGATTTCTCAATTAGACAAGGCTGTTAAATGTTACAAGGAAAAGGAGCAATATTTACGTACCTATTCTGAAGAAAAATTTGCTTATTTGGAATCAAAATTGACTGAATATGATAATTTCATTAATAATAAATTACAATCAGAAAAACAACGGTCGATGCTGGCTTTAGCATACCGCATGATTTGTCTAATATTTATACCATTAAACATCATCTTCGCTATACTTGGTTATGCAAAATATCTCTTACCAAGATTTTTAAGAAATGGTCGTCAAAAACCAATGTTACAACCAGCAATCATCTCATCAGATAATAAGAAGTCAACCGATGAACAAGATAGTTCGATTTCAGGAGAAAGTTTATAAAGGATTAATTTATAAAACTTTAAAAAATTTTTTTTATCATTTTTACAGAAATAAATAAATTTATTTACATTTGTTATATATATATATTTTGTCGATATTCTTTTTTTTTAATTGGATAATAATTATCTCAAAAAGCAGAAACAAAGGAGGAAGAGGAAAAAGAAGTGAAGAAGGAAGTGAACAATTACTTATTATTATCAAAAATTTTAATCACAGTCCCTGTTTACGAATCTCTTTTGTGGAAGGTATCAAAGATTATAGAGTGGTGAACGTGAAAAGGCACAGGAATGCTTCAATATACTTTATATAATATTTCCAAAAAAAATAGAAATTTTGGTTAAAAGTCGTGTAACCAGATCGATCGTTCTAATATCTATCATAATAACGTTTTTTGGTAACAACAAATTATTCAGATAGACACACGATTAATTCCGCCTCTTAACTTAATTAACACCATAATGATGATTTTTGATGGTTGTATGACAACAATTTTTTTTCTGATGATATTTTCAGATTAATGGTTGCATAACTTTTGCCGGATTGCTTGGCCACAATCTCTTTTTTAAAAGCCAATCAATCATATAATACCAAATCCAAAGTCGAATACCTTATTATATAAATCGCACTTTCAACTAATCCATCAACAAATGATGGTAAAAGGCAGTTAGGTGGAGATTAAGAATGGCATTTTTGTCATTATTATTTTTTTCCATTCTTGTAATGGCATTAACTTCAATACTGTGAAAAATTTTTTTCTTTAGCGTTAACAATTGAATCAATCGCACAAATGGTACCTGGTCAATTATTTTTAAAAAATTTATTTGAAATATTGTGTAAATTTTTTCAAAAAGATGTTTTTTTTTAATTTTATTAATAAATGATTTTAAGATAGTAAACATTTGCTTATATTTGGTTTTTTTTTAGTAGATTTAAATAGGTTAGGTTTTTTAGATCAAATGGATACAGCAAAAATTTTCAGACAACGAAATGTATCAATTTTTCAAAAAACATATAATTAGAACACAAAAAAAAAAACTGCCTAGATTCTATTTGTTTATATGAATAATAAATCTCAGCCTTCAGGATAATAAGCTCCACGATTATCTCTAAAAAGTAATTAGTGTATGATTTCAATGATCCATGCTTTTTTTAAACCTGTTTTAATATTATCTCACGTATTAGCGGCATCCTTATTTTTTTTTTTTTCCTCTTTTTAAACATATACAATCAATTCTATCCAATTAAATTTCAATTGAAAAAATTTGGGTCAAAGTTTTATGCAAAATATATAGCATTTTTTCCCTTATAATTATCATTATTTCTTTGGTCATGACAAGAGTTTTCATGATAAAATGAACACAAACTTTCCATCCATACTTAACGTTAACATTAGATTATTTTATTGTTTTATATAGATTTTAGATAACAATATTCATGTGGTATGCAGTAATATTTTTAATTTTTATTATAAATGTTTTTAACATGAATATGTGTGTATGTATGTATACGCATTGTTTTTCTTATTTTTTACTTCATTTTCTAGGCATGCTTAAAATTTTTGATGCTCTTGACCAGGGAAATACAAATAAGGAAAAAAATTGCATAAAAAACCATTCTTATATGGAATAAGTCAAGTCAATACTAATGCTAATGTGTCCACTTCGGCATTGAACAACTCTGTAGATGGAAAACTTGCCGGAATTGAAAATCTCTTAATGAAATATAGAAAACCGAAATATAGCAGACGGTTTTAGTTGTTCGTTTTCTCAAGGTAAGACCTCCTCCCTCTTTTTCCTTACATGAATGGACGATGCATTATTCACAAACAATGCAGTACCTAGCCATCTATGTATCTATTAGATTGATTGGGTCTGCTAGATCTGTGAGTCTGTTTCAGCAAGGTTTTATGCAATGGGGAGAATTTAAGAAGTTTTTCAATGATAGATAGAGTAAATAAGGAAGAGTATTCATCAATAAATGCGTGTCAGATTATATCTAAAGAAACAAACTAGGCCATTGGGTATACCACTGTAGATAAAATTTATAAACGTACCACAAATATTCAATGACGTATATACAATGAATGCAATTAATGGGTGGGTGGAAAATGAAAAATTTAAAAGTAATAGCTTAGCATCTTTTTCGATCGCTGAACCCAAAGAATAGGGCGCGAATTTTTCCTCCAATGCAAGTTCAAAGTTTATTTTAAGAAAGTATTTAGTTAATGCGGAATCTATAAATAATAAAAATATACTTTATTCCATGTATAAATAATATCCGCTCGATTAAAATAGATGGAAGAAATTCGAAAGTCGTCATCACCATTGTTATCATTACCTTCTTCCTGCATCATTTAACTAACATCTTTCATTTTTTCATCATCCATTGATCATGATTTGTCATAAATATTAATTCCTGCATTTTGTGAGAAATCCCTTAATCTTTCATAACAGCCTTCAAGAAAACATCATTCATTAGCAAGCAAGTTAGTTTGGTGAATACCACTTCAGCTTGCCAAAAATCTCCAACCGAAGAATCGAGTATTCTTCGGTTCAGGATTGGTTACCAAAAGAAGTCAACATATTTCTTAATAAGAGATTTGCTAAAGATTGGAACATGCTAAAAAATTTCGGATTCGAGAAGCATAAAGTGATGAGGGATGCATTGTTGGAATTGAAAGCAAACCATATGCGCAATGCAGGGTTATCATTTCTGGTCGCAGATGAGTTTGAGAACACCATTCACATCCAATCTTATAATGATGAGGATGAACTATTGGGAAAGTTTGAGGAATATACGGTATGTAACGAGGGTAACCTTCGTATTTTTTTGAAGAATGTTGACGGGACGGGATTAGAATCTATTAATGATGACAATGAAATCCCAAAGGTCATCGCTTCTTTAAACACTTTCAACCTAGTCAATATTACCGAATTAATGCTTTTCATCTTAAGGAAGTTAACTGGTCGAAAGTCGAGGATCAAGCAATGGAGGAAGAAACGTTATTGGCCATACAAAATGCTCCCACTGAAAAGATCAAGGCGCCTATAAAAAAATTTCCTAATCGAATAATGAATAATCAGGAAGGTAAACTGAATTGTTGGGATCAAAATCAAAGGGTAAAACTTCGTAATGAGTCGTTTTTTTCTTTTTTTGTATGCTGGCTTGAACAAAAAAAATATTTATTTGGCAGTTGAAAAATTATCTATTTTTGTTCAAAACGTCAGGGTTGAGCGGAGCAAATACTTGACCGAAAGGAAATCGTATTCTGCTTTAGATTTTTTTTGCATGGTGTCTACCATTAGGTCTTCGTCTTGCTCTGACGTTTTGGACCAATTGAAATGGCCAAAAACCTATGGAGCCTTTACCTCAGATCCCAAATTGTGCATATTTCAGAACACAAGATCGGAATGAAAAAACATTTTTTACATTTTATTTTGTTGTTATTATTATTTTCGGTCAATTCAATGATCGATAAACAAACAATATGTACAATTTTTTTTGACAATTTGAGGAATAGTGGTTTTATTTTCGGAGAAATCAAATAAATTACATTGATTAATCTTTGCAAAGGATTTTTTTTTAACAAATGAAATTTGAAATAACTTTTGATGTTGCATGAAGTTTATTCTTCTATGATAGACTTGAAAAAAAAAAAATTCAATTGATCCAATTGACCTTTAATCTCGGATAGATAAACACAAGGAAAATATCAGGACAAAAAGAACTTTTTTTTAATTAGGAAAAAAGCTTATTTGATTTTTTTAGCAATTGAAATTCATAAATAGCTTTTGATTCACATGAGAGTGTTTTTATTAAATAATGCATCATTGATCATGAATACATGATAGGATGCGATACTTCTCATCTAGTGCTAATTTGATGCTCCGAACTATGTTGTTTGACGAAATGTTGCCATAGTTATAAAACTGATACGTCAAATTCACTGCCATTAAGTCAAAATGACGTAAGTAAAATTATTAAAAAAAAACATATTCCAATGTCTTTTTTTAAGTATCCCAATCTCTCCTTTGTTTCATTAGGAGCCAAGTTTTTCTTTTGCTGAATACAAAAGTTCAATTCCCACACACTCATTTGCTACTTATTAATTAATAAAATCATCGGTACTTTATGTTCCAGGGTCAACTAATTTTAGTGTATCAATGAAATTTTACGCAAAAGCCTTTTATAATTATTACTGTGTAAATAATTATGGAAGTTTTATATTGATCAACAAAGATTTCATTAAGGATAACTTCTGGTCTTCGCTTGAAAAAGCATAACTTCGAAGGAAAATAATACATTCTAATAAAATAAAACTCTGTGATAGAATCATTATTTTCATTAAATAAAATAACCGTTAATAAACCTTTAAAATTAAAACATTGTCCTTATTTTCTTTAATAAAAGCAGCAAATCTTGGTAAAAGGTAACAATTGTGGAGCTTTGGTAAAACATCATGTTTATTTGCTTCAGTGAGCAAGCAAACAAAGTTAGGGTTAACGTTAATTAACTAGTGGGTGTTAATGAAGTATATAGTATTATTTTAATTGTAAATATAAGACTGTTAAACAAGCTACTTAGGTTGTTTTGCAAGTAAATCAAAGTGAGTTTGCAATCGGCTAATAAACAAACAAGGGTAAAACTAAAAGCATTGCAAAAGGACCATCTTTAATTATTTGGCACCATAAAGTGTGCTCACAGATTCGTCTAGGTGCAAGAAAGAACCAAAGTAAATTCGTAAATTAGTTAATTGACAAGCATCGAATTAACTGACAAGAGTAGCCCAAAAATTAACCCATAACCAAAATGATACCTCGCAATATCACCATTTAACAAGAATCAAAAAATTGTAAAAAGTTTATTATTTCAAAATATTGTTACAAGATAAGAAATAAAATAAGGATATAAAAAGATAAATAAAAAGAAGATAATAAATTTATAGCAGAGATTAAATTAGTCATTCATTGCATCTTTTCCTTTACTATTGTTACTAGAAT